AAATAAAGTGGACTGTATTTCTTGACTGTTGTATGTACACCAGTTTCGTCTTCGAGTGTTCTAGCTCGACTAACGCCTTCCCTCGAATTCGATGAGCGGTTACTCTCGTCACCCGGTTTTCTGTTGATACTCGGTAACCTTCCGTATGCTTCCATATACATCGTTCGCACGCTTTCCTATGATGCTTACATCTACAGATCGTTCGCATTTATACATATACATACCGCCCACCGATTAATGAAGATTAATTTTTTATGGTAGTGAATCGCTTGTCGGTAGTTTGCACAGCCTATTTATTGCTCGCTTGAGATATCCGGTTGCGGTTTTCAGAGTTACAACTCGAACCTTGTCGTCGATACCTTTATGGGTTTCGATTACCCTTCCTATTTTCCATTTCAACGGTGGCAAATTGGGCTCTTGTATCAGAACAATGTCATTAATCGCGATATTCGGTTTTTCTGTTTTCCATTTAGTTTTGCCCTGCAGCGAAGTTAAATATTCCGCACTCCAACGGCGCCAAAAATCTTGCGATAATTTTTGAGATAATTGCCAACGATCTAATCTGTTTATCGGTACGTCGTTTAGATCTACTTCCGGAATGGCTGTTAATGATTCACCGACAAGAAAATGACCCGGAGTCAGTGGTTGTAAGTCTGTGGGAGTGGACGGTAGCTGACATATAGGCCTTGAATTTAAACAAGCCTCAATTTGTATTAATACGGTAGCTAATTCTTCGAAAGTTAAAAGTGCAGAACCCATGATGCGTTTTAGGTGAAATTTACAAGATTTCACTCCTGCCTCCCACAGACCTCCCATATGAGGTGACGCGGGTGGAATGAACTTCCACTCAATACCGCTTGGAATGCAGAATTCGTTGCTTATTGTATCATTCTCTTTGGTAATGAATTGTCGAACCTCGTTTAACTCATTTCGCGCTCCTACAAAATTAGTCGCGTTATCACAATATATACGCTGTGGACAACCTCGTCGTCCCGCAAATCTTCTAAGTGCCGCTATAAACGCATTCGAGCTAAGATCGCTCACTGCCTCAAGGTGTATCGCCTTCGTTGAGAAACAAATAAATAATGAGATGTATGACTTGTTTGTCTTTCGACCACGACCTCGGTTGACTAACGTTACAATGGGTCCGGCGAAATCTATTCCTGTTACATAAAATGGACGTCTAGGAATTACCCGATCTGCTGGTAATTGTCCCATTACTTGTGATAGTGGTTTCGGATTATTTCTGAAGCAAGTCATACACTCATGTACAATTTTCCTCGCTAGATTCTTTCCTCGGAGAGGCCAATATTTTTCGCGAATTGCATATAACAACGTTTGCGGTCCTGCATGTAATAGCCTACGATGCTCTCGCTTGAATAATAATTTTGTAAAAGTGCTCTCGGCTGGTAGTATAATCGGATGTTTTGTGTCGAATGCGGTTAACGAATTACGAATTCGACCGCCCACCCTGAGGAGTCCTGTTTCATCGATAAACGGACTAAGTAGCGCCAATTTGCTTGTCAATCTGATTTGCTTTTTTGCCTTGAGGTCTGACACCTCGGCCACGAAATGGAGTCTTTGGATCTCGATAATTATTAATAAATTCACCTTGTGAATTTCCTGCAATGATAGATTTCCCACATTCCGGGTTTCCCTTTTGGTTTTACAATTCCATATAAATCTAAAAATCCACGCTAGAATACGCTCGAGTTTCGTTAAACAAGAATAGTTATTTAATAATTGT